TTCAAACTCTTGGCCCATAATTCAATTCTTAGGGACCCAAGTACACTGAGGATGAGCCGATGATCCTGATCTACAGATTCAGTCAAACTGGGTTTTTCAAGAGTGGGTCTCTCTTTGTGGGAAGTGTGATGATAATTAATAATATATACTATATACATAAATGAAACAAGTATGCTCCTTGATGTCCAAAACTTTGAATCACCCCGGCCCCTCCGGCTTGAATCATGTGACTGTGGCCGACCGGCCTGGAACTCCTGGAGCGAACGAGGCCGAGGCTGCTTCAACGCGCTGAAAGGTTTTCGTCCTCGCCGGAGGGGCGCGCGGAACCAACGGACACATGGCTGTCGGGTCAAAACCTGAATACCTTGGTTGACCTACCAGCGATACTTGCGGACTCTGTCTGAGGCGCTTCCCATGACCCTTTGGTTTCACTGGTTATCTGGGAGTGTGGTATGTACAAAAAGAAGGAGGGTCAGTGGAACATTCCGGATCTCCAAGACGCAGAAGGTGTCGCAGTCGTGTGTGGAGGTATGCACTCAATGTTCTTTTTCCCTTGCAGGTTCACGGTATGCAGAACTGTTCATATCGGTTGCAATCTACATTCTAGCTAAAATGTGTTTTGATAGCTTCCCACACAGTCCGGCCAGAAAACAAGGAGCACCACTCTAGCCCTGTAAGCAAAAAAGGCAAGCAAAAATCCTTTGACTACCAGGCAAGTGCCATTCAACACATACTTCCGCATCTCCGACAATGCTAAGCTAGGCCCCTGTCCTAAACTATGGAAAAATCTTGCACGATTTCCCTCTGGTTGCTCCAGTCGAGATCTTTCCGAGTGACCCAAATTGCTTGAAGCAACATGCTGCCCTCCATGGTCGGTGATGCTCATCCTCTTTGTTCTCTTGATGGACCAAACACCCAAATCCCTACCTGCCTTCCTGGTCGTTTCACAACCCGCGTTTCAACCCATGCTTTTTAGCTTCTGAATTTGCTAGACCCCGGGCCAGTTCTGAATGTTGATCCTCTTTGATCAGTCTGACACTCTCCCACTCGACTCCGACTGGCGGGGGTCACACGGCCCACCAGCCCCCGGGTCCACCTCCGTGGCTCCCAGTGGCTCCCAGTGGCTCCTGATCCAAAGCTTTGGAGGCGCTCCGTCGATCCGGAAGCGCCTGGACCGGATCGGTGGCCGGATCGGTGGCTCCGACCCTCCGCCCAGCACCGAGGTCGGATGATCTGTATATAGGTGCTTACATGGCCCTCTATAATGTGACCCAAGTATTGTGATGTGATTTTTGTACTACAAAACCTGGTGCAGCTTTCTTCTCATGGTCTTGAAAGGCTAGGGAAAATATACTTGAGAGAGGAGGGGGTGAACGAAAGGTAGCAGGCAATCACAAGTAACCCTGGTAGAAGTCCATGACGGCGTGAACCGGCGCAGGGGGGGTTTGATCCAGGGGGGGCGGGGGCGCCCCCCCCCCCGACGAACAGAATCATCTCTTACAGGACCAAACTCAATGCACAATCCCAACTCCTGATTGTAATACATGTTTGCTAAAGCAAGGAGAACTCAGGTAGCTCAAGCTACCTTTCGTGATATCGTGAATCGTCGATTACCAAAAGTCGAAGAAAGTTTTACCAGCATCACCGGCTTTACCTCGTTGAGAGAGCAGAAAATAGTGGGTTTAATCAGGATGTCCAAACCTTGAAGCAGCACTCTTGCTGGCTCATTCCAGATAGAAGCGGCAGTTGAATGGTGACGGTATTGCTTTACCCCACCACGCTGCGACATGTTGTTTCCTCACGATGCCACTCATGCCATGTCGGACTTACCTGGACTCAACGGGGAGGAAGAGAGCCCAACCTCCAATCACTTGGTGCGACTAAGAGACCTCCACAGCGGGCTGTAGCGTTGTCCTCCTCTTTTTTGGAAGGGGTAGACCCCATTGTTCAATCTGTTCACGGAACAAACAGCGTCCACACTGTCCAAGACACTGACACCCCCTAGCCGCAGAGTCTTGTTAGTTGCAAAACCTGACCAAAAAATGGAGGAAAGCACCGATGCTGGCGCGAATGTTCCTCATTTTCATCTGGAAGGATGAACTGGCATCCGTAGGGCTTTCACGTCACATCCACCCCTTGGTTCCTCGGGCCAAACGTTCTGCGAATCTCTCCAAATCGACCGAGCAGCGAAGGACGGGGAAGGAGGCCAAACCTGGATGCAAACAGCCAATGTGTCCCGCACACATTCAGTGACTCGGCGTGGCACGAAAAGGGCAGCCACACGGCCCTGTGGGAAATCAGATTTCCGTGGAAGAAGGTGCCAATGTTAGACTGCAAGGGCAGTGGCAGTTCTCATTGTTCCTGGAACGAGAAACCAGGGTTATCTTGAAGCGGTTGGGAGAGTCTGCCGACCGGTTGTCAACTCTGCGACCATGCGACTCATGTTCATCAACTTCAACGGGAACTGCCCAAGTCCCATCCGGATCGCCACAAAGCGGCGACCACGGGGTCGACGTCGACGGACACCGACGGCTCTGCGGACGGATCCACGGATGCTTCGTGATGTGTCGTCTTTGGAATGAGCAGCGAAGGAATTCCGGGGGAGATGCGGGGATGGTCTGGTCACTTGTGGATCTAAGATGCAGAGAAAGCCCGCTTTGAACGGCTCAATGACCTGTCACATCCTTTCACCTCAAAGAAACACAATCCCGCGGAGGTTTGTTTAGGCTGCATACCAAGTTGCTGCATCTCTGTGCAACAGCCATCAGTGATTCAGGCTATCAGCAGCTCTTCAAGGCACTTGATGCTATCAATCTTTGGCACATGCTTGAGATGGATCTGGTTGAACTACAATTAACAATCATACTACTTCATCTATATATAAAAGTCCTGGTCCTGTTCAGAACGGGTCGTTCTTGGTGGTTCCAGCATGTTAAGAGTGAGATTCATGTACTTCTCCCGAATCGTCTGGGACCAACTCACTTGACATGGGGCGCTTGCGCTGACTTGTATCGATCAGCCGATCTCACGGTCTCCGCGTTGTATCGACCTTGTAGGATCGGACCCATCACGGTCCACCGACATCACCGTTGTCTCAGCGCATTGGTCGATGCTCTTTTCGGAAGCTGCAGAGGAACTGATCCCGAGCTGATCCGAAAGTGTCTGCGGATTTGGCACCAGGGCGCGGCGAAGCAAGGCTTGTGTGATATGCTGCACACCTCTTGGGTTGGAGGCCTCCCAAAGACACCGTTTTCAGTGCGAAGTTCCTGCTGTCTGAAGATTCTTGGAACAAAAACGCCTGTTTTGACTGCTCTAACTCTAACGGGAGAAGAGTCACCCCAAGTGGGCAGATCAGAATTTGAGGGGAAGAAAACATGCCCGCGTTTGGATGGTTGGTCCGTGGACGCATACAACTCGTCGCCAGACACTTCATGTATGGAACATACTATGCCTATACTAGTACATTGACCCCAGCAAACCCAATTGATTGGCAGATACGCCATTCCCATGACCGCATGGTCAACGTTGTGTTTCTCAGGAGGCTCACCGATTTTTCAGCGTGGAGAAGGGAGTCTGGTGCAGATGTCATTTGACTGCTGAGGGTGCCCAAGCAATGGTAACCATATGTCACCTCCGCAGAACCTCTGCAGATCGGACATGTCTATGTCTTCCCTCACGATTGGATGTTGGAAAGGTCCCTATCGTGAGAAGAGTCTGATGCCCAGCCTTCAACGACTCCAACCCAAAAACACCAAGAGGAGGTACCGGAGCTTCTGCTGAAGGGCGCTGGACAAAGATCAGAGTATATTCCACACCCAAGTTGTTGAAGGGTGCACCAGTCTATACAGATTCTATACAGTCTGTACTCTAAATACTGTACGTGTCTTTAGATTTCAGTCAGGGGCCAAGGAGAATCCAATGAACGTCTCTGCTACAACAAGCTCAAGAAACTGCTTGACAATTGACTGCCCTTGGGGTCGGATCGAATATGGGTCCTGTGTTCACCTGCAAGAAGAATGTCCAATACAGAGTTTGATGCCCCAGTCACACAGATTTATACATCCTAAACATATACTGCAGTATATACTGTTATATGTTATATATAATACGTAAGATCTTCCTCCAGCACCCACAATGGGGTGGTTAGTGGGCACCCCTTGACTCTTGACCTCTTTTCGGGCTATTCATAGACACCCCCAAAAGGGAGGCCCTGGTATACATGATCCTTTGTTGGTCCGCGGCTCAACCCTTGTCAATTCACCCGGCCCGTTGATTAGAAAGTCGTGATGACCCATGTGATGGCGCCAAAAGAAGCCCTTCACTCCCTGATCTCATCATGGGCCAACGTGGATGCCATGGCCCCAAACCGATGACCCGATACATCCCGATACCAAACAGGTGGCTGGATCCACGTAAGCATGATGATTCCAGGGAGTGTGCCTCTGATAGAACTATCCTTCTGCGTCAATGGGTCATGGTCCGTCCCCTAATCTAAACTCTTGATGACTCTTGATGAATAAAGCCTCCTCATTTGGATGCGCTCACTTGCGGACTTACGTTCGCGCCCAAACATACCCTTGCCATATTGTATGGCCTCCCCATTTGGATTGAAAAAACCTCCCTTCTATGGGTGGTTTATTCCTCTTTCGAGTCTACATGGCTTCGAGGGTCAGGTCCAGTCAGCGGATGGGATGACGCCCTCCACCGTTCGCTCGCCAACGCCAGGCGATCCCGAGACAACAGGGATGAAGACCATGGATTCGGTGGTTGTTGTTGTTGTTGTTGTTGTTTCTTTCTGTGAATCTATCCCATTCCCCCATTCCCTGATCCCAGTGCATGATGGCTTTCCTGGTTACAGGCCGACATCACTTCCAAAAGAGTGATAATCTTTTACCAACTGTTACAGGTCATGGGCACATCCTAACTCTGGACCTCTTTCCTTCGGTCACTGCTGTCATCTGGTGTCGTCCATCTTCGGCTGTGGGCTTGGAGTCCCGAGCCAATCCAGCCCGACGCCAGAGCAGCGCTACAATAGCGCTCGGCATTGGGCCTTGGTAGACCAGGATGGGAGGGTGGACGCCTCCGGAGAACCGGCGAAATGCGAAGTTGGGCATTGACTCACTTGAGTGGAGAGAGTGAAACTGAAACTTGTAAGTTGACTTCCAGCCTTTTTCGACAAATGGACAGCATGAAGACCATTCCGCTTGTGACACATGGGGTGAGGAACCCGCGTTGAGGCGACATGCGTTCTCCCGAAGGTTCACCGGTTCGCGACATGCCGGGAAAGCTGTTGACGGGCCAGATCTCGTTCAGACCACCAAATGGAATCCTTCAATCGAAAACCCACGCTGTTTATTTTTTCAGCTGTTCCTGATTGATGTCATGCTCATCAGTGATTGATGTCCCTTCTCCTCGAGGGTCACAGTCATAGTCATGTCATATCCATATCCATATCCTGCACCCCCTCCAACAACTCCAGAGATTGAACAAACAGTTGAAATTGGTCCAGCTGGCTAAGCTGGTGAGTTCCCCTTACCCTAGCCAAAGACTATTTTACAGACGGTTGAGCTGCTTTTGTCATAATCCTCAGTAAAACCGTTCTTCAGCCTTCGAACCATTAAACCAATTGGCTGCCACCTTCACATCTGTTCAGACGGCCCTCCCCGAAGCCGGGGTGGTCCGGGGTCCGGACCCAATGAGAGGCTCGTTCATGCGCAGCTTCTTCCGAGCGCCCAGGGCAGCGCCCGGAATGATGGCCTGGTAGACGCGACGGTAGACGCGACGCGACGGTCGGGTCGGGTCGCAGGTCGCAGGTCTGGGCAAGGACTGGGCAAGGGACCAGCTGAGGGGGGTGTGGTTTGTGGTTTCTTGAGGTGGAAGGCTTCAGTTCTCTTCAGGAAGAATCTGGCAGAAATACTTGGCCTAATTGCAAGGAAACAACCAAACCTGAGTGCAACAATTGTTGCTTCGCACACAGCTCCTGGCCGGCCGATTTGCAGAGAACAAGCATCAAAGTAAGAAAAACAAATCTTGCACGGCGCTGCTGTCATCACCAGCTTTCGGATCGCCCCAGGTCACTATCCATCTGCCAAAATGCCAGCAAAGGCTTCATCAGCAGCTTGAACTTGCTTATAGCCATTGCATGTATTCAGCTGAGAAAAAGGTGCCCCCCTCCCCTTACCATTGTTGATGTTGGACTCAAGAAATGGATGGATGGATGGATGGATGGATGGATGGATGGATGGATGGATGGATGGATGGATCTCCCAGAATTCACAGGTATTTTCTTGTGGAGCTGAAGACTTCTGTGGAGCAGTCATTCAAAGTCCAGTTTCGCGAGCTGCCATGCGGGTGGTCTGTCCACTTCTGTGGCTTGGGGCGTCCGGTGCAGCAGAGGGACTGCAGTCGCCACAGCCTTCGTAGCGTTGCATAGAGCCTGACCGCGTCGAGCCTGGTGGGGGGGCAGCAAGTGCTTGGGGTGATCCAATCTCTGGTGACGAAATCAGTGCAGTCCAAGATCACCTGAAACATGTGCAGCTTCCGTGCTGCAAGTGCTTCCGCGTGCCCGTGCCCGGCGCGAGGGTTCCACCATCCAGAATACGGTGGCAAGACCAGCAGCGCCGTACAAGATCAGCTCACCAAGGCGAAACAAGTCCAAGCAACTTCCTTTTTTCGGATTTGCTGCCATCTTGAAAGATGGATCTAATCTGTTGTCACCTGGGGAGATTTACGATATGGTGGTGATAGCAGTGCCGTGCAAGATGAGCTGAATGTGACTCCCCTCCATCCAATCATCATCTTGCTCCCCAAAAGTCGCCGGAAGGAAAAAGGCTTCACATCGGAAGGTGTTCGTGGAAGAAATCCATCTGAAGACTCGTGGGCCTTTCCTGTTTTACCTAATGTAGGAGTCCTTTCTTCTGCCAACAGTAGCATCCTCTGCATCCTTAGTGGAGTCTGTTGGAGCAGAAAGGATCTAAAGGCTCTGGGCTCTGAGTGTCATTCACGGCCGTGATTCTTTCATCGGTTCCTACTCTTCCACCGCAACACACTGCGGAGACCTCCGTCATGATGTGGTTGCACACCACACAAATCCCAAAACCATGCCAAGCCATGCGGTGACCAGAAATGACCTGACGAGACGACGTTACGAAGAACCTCGGATGACGGCCTTGTGCTTCTTCTCAGAGGTCTTCAAGGGCATGTGGATGTCTGAGTCACCCATCTTCACGATGCTCCCACCCACATTGGAGTACCAATGCCTGGAGCAGCTGAGCAGTACTGGAAGACTGTACCAAAAGACATCAAGCTCAGCAGGGCATTCCCAAAAAATATCCTTGGATATGATTTTGGATATGGGTGTGTATTTCAAATCTGGGAGACCCGATCGCCTCTGGCTAGGTAGACTGGTCTATTTCCCAAACCTTCCAGGGGGTCGGAATGCCTAGACCGGTTCGGTCTCCCGTCTGTTACATACTTACATACCCATCTCAGTGGTCGGTCCTGGTACAGAGTCCTGGAGAAATCCTTCCCTACAGGTCAGGAAGTGGACACCGACACACAGGACAGCCATGTCTCAAGTTGAATCCTAAACACGACGAGAGTCCAAATGGAGTACCAAAACACGACGAGTCCAAATGGAGCACCCAAATGGAGTCCAAATGGATCGGCTCCTCGTCCTTGGTCCTTGGTCCCGACACAAAAGGGAACCGACCAGACCGACCTGTCGGACCGACCGACCCGACCAGGTCCACGGGTCGGTGCGATGTTCCCCCGACGTCGGAGGGTTCCCATCGCTGCGGAGCGCTGCGGATCGCTGCGGAGCACGTGTGGATCTATAGCATCGATCCGCAATGAAGAGCTTGGCAATCAGATCGCACCTTGTGGATCTCTAAGCAGTTGATCTAGATATATCTATATAGATGCTTCTCAGATCTGACGAGCTTAGCACATGTGGATCATTCAAACCAAGTGTCCAAAGATTTTAAAGATCGGTGGCCATTTCTTGGGTGTGCATGGGTCCATATATACATGAATTCATGATTCATTGTACCATACATTACCATACCCATCCATTCCCAAGTAAAATGGAAACACCGAAGCTCGAGCCCGCCGCTCGCTCGCATCGCTTTGATCCGCTCGGTGTCCGGGCGTGTCCGCGGCATAGCTGCGTTGATTGAGACGCAGGCCACGAGTGCCCGACTCCTCTAAAACCTGCAGTGCCAAGAGAGGCACAACGACTGAATCAGGGCCAAGCCTCATGGACCTCCATTGTAGAATATACTTGGCCCCGGTGAAGTAAAGTACTCGACATCAGGTACTCTATTCTGACCGCGTCTTTGACTCTCAGGGAATACTATGTTGCTTCTGCTAGGTGATTCATTCATGGCAATGTATGTACAAAGTGGCTCCAAAGCAGACATATGCAGGGTTATGAAGGGGTTGAATCGGGAGCCGACGAACGCACATGAATCAATCCCCCAAAATGAGAGCCTGGTTCCTTCTTCGTGACCCATCCAAATCCACCGTTGGATCCGAAGAGACACTCGTTGGGAAGAGACACTCGTTCCAGTGAACGCCCCCTTGGAAGGTCGAAATCGGCGGGCATTGGGTCATTGGTCAGGGATTCCAAATGCTGGGATCCGATGTAAACCCATCCCAGACAATCCATGTATGTAAAATTTATCTGCATTAAAGTGGTTTCAGGGGTCAATGTATGTCAATGTTCACATGTTCACCTATATTTCGTAGAGGACATGGAATGACCTCCACATGTCTAATGGCCTCCATTGAACACCAACGCCTCCACAAAGCCGGGTTTCAAAAGTCGGTGGAGCCCACAGAGCCCTTTCTGTGCCCACACCAGGGCCCCCGGATAGGGGTGGTTCATGGATACTCCTCAACCTCTAAGGAGTTCTAATTAGACACCCCAAACAGGGGGTTAGTGGATACATGTGTTGGTTTTGGTCTTTTCTGAACATGTTTAAACCAGAAATCGCACGGATGTGGACCTTCCACACCATCACTGGAACCAGTCAAGCACCTTCTCACTCTGTTCACATGGTCCACCACGGCGCCCTGCCTTCATGCGAAAGTCGTTGAATTGCCTAAGCACCGTCGGGACGTGAGGGCCGAGCTCAGCAGGTGCTGCTGTTCTGTTTCACCCCCAAAGAAAACCAGGCTGCCTGGGATGAAAAGGATGAATAGCTTTAGGAGTCTTGCGTTGTATAGAGAACAAGTACTGTACATACCACGTATTTCAATTGGACCTTTGCATGAGAGGAGTTTTCCTAACGTAAGTGTTTGCAAGTCCCATCTCATCTTAAGATCTGAAGAGAGATGAACAAACAGGGAATTCCCTCTGGATGAAGCTTCGTTTCTGGCCGTCTCTTCATCCTCGACATCCAAATCTTTGACATGCATCACCCCCTTCCGCCCCATGTCATTTCAAGTCAAGCCAAGTAGCTCCATACTCTCAATGAAGTAGGTCTCACTTTTGCCAGGCACTTCGACGACCTGAGGAAGATCACAGAAACACACTGCCGCTCCAAGATTCGACCGTGCCGAGAAGACCCAATGCTGTTGGCCACCGCAAGATCAAAGTCCAAAACTCGGAGCATGCGGAAAAATCACATGATTTCACATGTAGAATGGGGATCTACATGCTTACTTGGACCACAACACACTATATCAGAGATTCAAAGGCAAACTCAGACAGATTGGTTACGGCTAGATCAGCTTGTGGGTGCTTCCAACTTCAACAACTATGTGAAAGGGTCTAGAAGCCAAATCCAACAGCCCTGTTTGCGGTCACCTTGGGATATTCACAGGTCTATATATAGAATATAGAATATAGGTCCAACAAACTCGAAAGCCACTTCACAAAGAAGCTGAATCAATCTGAACATATGCCAGAAAGGTCCCAAAAGTGCAAGAGGTGGATCCAAGTCGTATATGCAGAAGTTCCCCCCACGCCTTCAACATAGAACACAAGATGTTTTCCTTGGGAATCTCAGAAATCAGTGGATTGTTGTGACACAAACACAGAGAGAGAGAGAGAGATAGTTAAAAAGAAAAACATGTTCAGCCCCTGATATGCTGGTGTTGACACCTCGCTGCTCACTTCGTTGCTCCCTTCCCTCCCCAACTCCGGTTGGGGCGCTCCGACCTGAAACGTGGTTTTTGGGCCTCGTTTTTGGCGTTTCTCGTGTGCTCGGTGCTGTTTGCGTGTCTTGAAGCTACCTGTTTTTTTGGTGCCTTGTTGTTGATCACCTGGGGATACCCATTGAAAAACGCGCTAAACTTCGAACTCATCTGGGTCTCACATGTCATATATCATCAGACGGTTATCTTGGGTGAGCATCTGATGTCTGAGAAGACTCTGAAGCGCTCTGAATTCCTTTGGCGCACTCACTGAAGCACTCACTGAAGAACCTTTCGCACCCATGTGTTCCAAGCGACTTTCCCACGAAAGGCAGAACTTCAAGTGGATCGTTGTTCAGGATTCAGGAGCATGCTTCACTACATGAGATGCATAAGACTCATAAACAATATCAAAATATGCAACTACTGTATCTGCTTTCTACATTCTATATGATTAAAAACAATGAAATGGGTAAGGACTCCGGGATATCAAGGAATAACCACCACA